CAATAGATGGAGATGAAGATGGAGATTGGAGAATGGATATTAGAGATTGGATGTTGGAGAAGATGTGTATAAAAATGTTAGAAAATAAGAGTATTTATAGAATTTTTTGTACCCCCACCCCCACCCACCCCCACCCCCAACGGCTCTATGCCTCTATTGATTCAAATTTCAATAGAGCCGTTTGGGGCTTTTGATTTCAATTTTTTTTGTATGTTTTAGTTTGAATAAATTACATAATGTTATAATCATCATCTTCTTCAAAATCAACATCAACATCATATGTTAAATACAAAGAAATCTCATTAATTGTGCTTTGTTGCGTAGCGGGAGTTGATTTCGTTTTTTAATAAAATTGGCAAATGTAGATTTGAAAATTGATTTTCCTTTAGATGATGTTTGTGTCAAATGGTAGGGGCGCATTGCCATATTATGCATGAAACTCATTAAATAATGCATAAAATATATCACTAACCTCGATGTATTTTTTTTCGGATCAATTGGGTTGTCCTCATACATTGGCAATGGATCAAAAAAATGAGCATTATAATACCATAAATAACCATAAAGAACCAAGTCTAAAACGAGGATCGAGAACAAATGCAATACCATAAATATGCGGAATATGTGAATAATATTTTAAAAACTTTTCATCCATAAAACTAGCATAATAACTCACATAATCAGCATTCTCAAAATTTGAAAAAGCACCGGCGAGATTAACAGCTTCACGAATAAATTGGTTTGAGGTAGGTTTATAAACATGACTAAAAGTTTTAGTTGCATTATTAAAATATATCAAAGCATTACAAATTTTTTCACAGGTGTCGATCTCAGCCGAGTTTATAATATAGTTATCATATTGTTTCATAAAAGCAGGAAAATGTTGTTTATATCTAAGAAGAACTCCAATTAACTTATAGGTACTATTCCAACGAATAGACAAATCTTTAGGAAAAGTCACATATTTCTCACTATCTTTCTATCAAATAATCATGTCATTTTTTCCTAAGTTGTCCATTACCCCAAATACGTCTAATCCCCCCATTGACTACCTCCAACGATGCTCCCAACGCTTTTAGACCATCTTGCACACATAAATTTAGAACATGACATGCACATCGTTGATGAAAAAATCTACCCATCAAAGAAGTAGAACCACACAATTCACGCAATCTAGGAATAGCAGCAGTATTATTAGTAGCATTATCAAAACCAATAGCAAACACCTTATCAATTAAATTATACTCAATTAAAATACGCTCAATCAAAATATAAATATGTTCAGCGGTGTGACGATCATTAAATTCACGGAAAGCAAGAACATGTTTATATATAGCCGTTTGGGTTGTCCCCAGCCCTCCCCCAACGGCTATTTTGGCCCAAAACATTTTTTTTTTTAAAAAGTAACCGTTGGACCCGGACCCGGACTCGGATCCGGACTCGGGCCCGACCCGCCCCGCCCATCCCCACCGGTTCGAGTCTACACCTGATCCCGGACCGCCAGACCGGGCCGGTCCCGGGCCCGCACAGCAGCGGGTCGGGCCGGGTGGCCCGAACCGTATCCACCCCTAGTCACAGAATAACAACTGATTCGGTGTGTCAAGGCTCATTTTCTTTTCATTGACAAGTATGAAATTATTTATTTAAAATAATGGTCTACAGATATGAGTAACACATTCTAAATGAGGTACTCCGTATTTATGTACTGTCAGTTTAGTTATAAACTATCAATGGGTAAACGAATCTTATTTTCAATCTAAAATTTTTGTTTATCGCTTGTCTAAAAGACTAAAACTTGGTTCTAGCGTAAAACTTTACTCTCGTCCCATTTTCTAAGCATTGGAAGTTTGGAATATACCTAAAAATTGAATAAAAATGTGTATAACACTATAACGAGCAAAAAGAAAAGTCCATGGTTTGGCAACCAGACAATGTATTAATGGATCACATGGCCGCAGACATGCCCATAATAAACCTTCTTTCTGTATTTTCTCAAATGCTTTGGAAAAGATAAAGAAATCCACCCTATTATGAAGTATTTTATTTTACTTTCATAAGAAAAACAAGTAAAACTCACTAGTAGAAAAAAGACCTGTAGTGATACTAATTTAGTGTCGTTGAAAGTTTCTAACGACACTTATAAAGCGTAGGGGAAACTTGTTGACACTTTCACATATAAGAAATGCTAAATAAAAGTGCTAAATCTACTCGTTGACAAACTTGTCATTCACCAACATACGTCAAGCCGCATAGGTCAACCGGCAATAACTAGTGAAATATGTCAAAGGTTAGTAAGAAATTTAGCCCGTTTTATAATCCATAATTACAGCTAATCAAACTTTTATATTAAACATCTAATTCCAAATTTATGACTAAAATAAATGATATTTACAAAAATGTAGTTTCTTAAGTGTAATGACTATAATAGTAATTTCAATTATAATAATTTATGTTCAGTTTTTATACTTGAGTATGCATGTTTTCATTTGGACTGAAATTTGTAGGTCTGATTTGATCTGATCTGGTCTATTTAAATATGATCTAGTCTGGTCTGAACCGGTGTGATATGATCTAAGAATGTTTGGTCTCTGTATATTTATAACTATAGAATTCTGATCCGGTATGTTCTAGTCTATTTAAATCTAGTCCGATCTGATTAAATTTGGTCTAATTTGGTCTAATTTGATCTGTTATAAGAATGAAAACCGTGCAACAGAAAACATCCTAGATCTGAAACATCCTAAATTTCATCTCATATCTTTGTCATATGAAAACTTTTTGTATGAAAAAAATTACATGATGTTATCTTATTCAAATTTCGGGATATGTACATGTTTAGGTATGATATCAATAAATCTCATGTTATACTTGGAACTTTAATAGAACAAATTATTACATGCCAGATAACATGTACGAGTACAAAATAGATGTTAGTGATATACTAGAATCATTAATAAAATTAATCACAAATACTAATAATGACTTACATCCGATTCAATTTTGAATAAGCATTATTATAAATATGTTTAAATATTTCAACTTATTAATATGGAAAAACACATTTTCCTAAATTAACTTAAACAACACAGATATAACAAAATAAGAGCATCTCCAACAAAAGTGCCCATAATTCAAGCAACATAGATATAAAATCATTTACACTTAAATTAATATTGCATTTTTATTCACTTATTAATTTTAAAGAAATTATTGGCTTTGAAATCAGTATGACGGTGTATCAATATGCCGAATATTATCAAAATATACATATCAATATTGTACCGAAATTTTCGGTAAATCCGATATTTTTTAATATGATAAGTGCAATATACTGAAGTTTCGATATTTTCACTAAACTTAAGTGACCATAACATTATATTATACTCCGTAGTAAGTTCTAGTCATATATTTTAGAATAAATTTTATTTTAGTAAGTGCAAAAACCTCTTTTTTATTTCTCAAACTGAATGGTGTAATAATTAAAATAAGTAAAACCATATTTACTTATCTATTGATTTGAATGAAGTTAATATAGATGATCACTTTAACTACTCCCTTCGTCCCTCTATTATTGTCTCATTTTCTATTCATTTGGACAATACAAATCCCTATTAATCTCTTACTTTATTGATCAATTTTTATCAAATTTTTATCCCAAAATACTCTTCTAATTTCCTTTCTTTGAGTGGGTTGTGCGGTTAACATTCCATTCACATTTTTCTAAGCCAATCACAGCCATAACATTTTATTTTTATAAGCGTGTCAATGCAAACTAAGAAGCAACTTTTTGGGACAAGAGTATAAGTAATAAAATACCAACAGTATATGTTAAATATTTTTTATAATTCCACATTTAATCGACTCAGTCACCACTTCAGTCAAAATTTCACCATTTTCAAGAGATGCTTACCAATTGGGCTTGAAATGCTTGACATTTATTAAAATTTGTGGTGGATACAATCTCTAAAAAAATCTACGTGAAAATGCACTTGTGTGTGGTGTGTATAAAGGTTTCAAGATAAGAGCAGCTGCGCATGTATAGATACATATTCGGTGATCGATCTTAATAACATTTTTTTCTAAGTAAATCTCAGTCCCACAAGTTTACCTTGACTCATGTTTCATGTGTCAAAAACAAATGAAAAATTAATTTTGGAACAAAGGGAGTAACGGCTCAGCAGTCAATACTAGACAACAACTGCTCAGTTGAGTGGTCGAGTGAGGACAAGTAACATTGACACCACAAACAATGCCAGAAAGCCTGGGAGCTAATATGAACTATTCTTTATAGTAGCAAAATAAAATAAATTGCAGAAAAGAACAGAGAAAACAACCAAAAATTGACTAAATAGAGAAGATGCCATAGATAGAAATGGCGGAAAAGGAGTAAAGATAGTTGGCTAGTGCATCTATCAAAACAGCCAGCTCATAATTAGTGCACATTGTCCCCCCAATCATGCTCCATAAAGACTTGAAACCTACAAGCATTGAAAGGGATGTGCCTAAACCATGACCCCAGTTCTATACCAGAAAATGGATCCTGCCTAGTTATGACAAGGGGAATTAAAAAGTTATCAATAACGCTCCCTATTAGCTGGCCAATTCAATTGTTGATCAAATATACTGCCCCACCTAGATAAAGTCGTCTTTCAAGCGTTTGTTTAAAAAAAAGAGTCGTATTTCATAAAACGAAACAAACTTTTCTAAATGTATTTGGCCCAATAAAAAGAGTTACGAATAAGCTTATTAAATATGATTAATTAAGTTAGACCAACAAATAAATACTCCCTAAGATTTAAAAATATATGTAGAATTAGGAGTAGTCTTAAAAACATCAATACTTCTTTTTAGACAGAGGAAGTAAAATGTAGCTGTTCAGTGCGACGTTGATGCGTACCTGATCAGGAAACACTGTCATGGATGTGATGATGAGAAACCCAACTGAAGCACGTCAGGTAAAACACATTAAGCATGAAGAGAAAAAGCTTTTAGAAAATGGATACCAAGAAAACCCATAATAAATCAGTGTTATATGATGTCAGCGTATATAAGAATAACACATTAAGGAGTGATAATATTATGAGAAGATATACAGCTGTTGTGAACAACAAATAAATATAAATATATATAGCCTAAAAGTAAAACAAACAATGTGAACATGTGGTAGAAGGCAAAAAGGACTAAACAGGCATAAATAAACAAATTGGCAAATGTTTGTTTTGGATTGTGCATGACAATATTTTAATGTTATCTCCTTCTGGATGGTTGGTTATGGCTCCTCCTACTACTATCTCCTTCGCTGGTATCAGAAGCCATATCTCCATGTTTTGAGCCTATTTTTGGACCAATGTTATTGTGTTCCTTGTGATCACGGTGGGAATTTGATGATTCTCTTCCAACTCTTCGATCCTACAAAATATGAAGCAGACACTACAAATTACTAGTAGCCAGCTAGCAGTATGTTAAATTAGGCCTGACTCACCGCATAAAGATCTCTATTACGGTATAATACTAGACTGGGCTCAAGCACAATAAAACCTTATGCAAGATGCTCAACCCACCCCTCAGCCAGAGCCAAATTGAACAACTGAAGGGGAGGACAAATCAGAGTACCGGACTAAACTAACCCCAAATGAGTTGCCCCAAAACATTGTGGGCGGACATCCTACGAACCACTATTGGACCAAACTTTGATACTATGTTAAGTTTGGCTAACTTAACCGAAAAGGATTCTCAAGAACTCAAGTTTAGCTCCCAGTCTCCCACTAATATACTAGACTTTAAACTCAATAGACAACAGAATGTGTGATCGTAACCATGATACAACCAGTGGCGGAGCCGCAGAGGCAGGCGCCATGCTAAGCCCTGACTCAGCCCAGTATATAGCCCTGGCAACGCTCCTGGATACAATCCTAACGAAATTTTAGCACTAAACATTAATGAGCTCAATAAGTTAGGGTCATCACGGTATGAGTTATTTGGCTAAAACAGATGAACTACCAAATTCATTTGCGATGAAAAAGCATTTCGTTAAATCAATTTCAGCCAAATAAGTATCACTACGTGATCTGCTGATAAGCATCATATGTCAACTATGGGAACCAAATGGGCCGTTATCTGCGAGAAAATAATAGAAATGATGGTCTTACATCACGAAACAATATATCATCAGCCTCAAGCGAATGGATAATATGTCCCATCTTGGGCCTCTTCTGAGCATCGGGATCAACACAACGAAGAGCAACCAAAAGAACACGTTTAAGTGCCTTAGAAGAAGGAACTTCGGGCAGTTTTGGGTCCACCACTTCCTCTGATTTTCTATTGCCAACCATAGCCTTCAACCAATCCACCAAGTGAACCTGTTATGATAACAACCATCATCTTATTATTCAAGCTTTAAAAGAATGGATGGAAATGTGGTAAAATACTACATAAATATAAACCTAACCTCTCCTTGTGGACGGCCATGATCAACAGGGGTTCTCCCAGTAATTATCTCCATGATAAGTATGCCAAAGCTATAAATGTCACTTTTTTCATTCAGCATACCAGTGCAAGCATATTCTGGGGCAACATATCTGATGGAAGATAATTACCATCACTAATAAAGTCTGGCTGATTTGATAATAATGAGCTAATGATGCAAATAAATGACTTGGGGATAAAAATTAACTGACCCGAACGTTCCCATCACACGAGTTGTCACATAAGAACTCTCAGCATTTAATAGCTTAGCAAGCCCAAAGTCCGACAACTTTGTATGCCATTGCCGATCGAGCAGTATATTGCTGGATTTAACATCCCTATGCACAACTTTTGGTTCAAGTCCCTCATGTAGATAAGCGAGACTTCAAACAACAATAAAAAAATTAATATAACAACAGCAACAGTAGTGAGATGATAATACTTTCTCTGTCCCAAAATGAAATTCCTATTTTGACTTTTACAGACTTCAATGTCGACCTTTGACCATAATTATTTACTACTCCGTATCACATAATTATAAATCTATAATATTAATTCAATAATATATATTATAGCAAATTGATGAAGAGTATATTCATGTTATAAATTAATAGAATAAATAAACAGTTAACAATCAAAGTTCACGTGCTTTGCCTCCAAAACTCAAACTGGGAACTTCATTTGGGACGAAGGTAGTAATAAATTAGCATATTCATAAACTCTGGAACCAATTATAATAACGTACCCTTTTGCACATCCCAATATAATATTCATACGAATATCCCAAGTCAAGGGGCTGACTTCTCCAACATCTCCATGAAGCCACTGGTCCAGATTGCCATTGTCTACATACTCATACACCAGCATCCTTCATATAATAATGATATATATTAAGTTTGTCCATCAAATATGTCAGAAAGTTAGTAACATCAGGTTCTCCAAGAAAGAAAGGTACGTAGTAAATTAGTAGTATATGAGTACAGACGAATACCTATAAGCTCCTTCAACACAGTAGCCAAGAAGCCTGACAAGATTTTTGTGCCTTACACGCCCAATAGCTTCCACCTCTACCTTAAATTCTCTCTCAGCTTGACCTCTGATAACATATCATACCCCATAAATACATAATTAGCAAAAGAAGAACCATTTACTTTGAGATTTAGTTGTCTTGGTGTTACAAAAGAGGGGCAGTTATTTAGTATAAGACACAACTCTGGCAAACCGTTAAAGAGCAAATTCAGGCAAAAATGCACTGATAAAATGAAGGATGTAAATAAATAACATCCAAGACTAAAATGACCACTTGACCAGAATATTCAAATCTGCGAATTTGAATTTTCTCCTAAGAAAATAACATATACACAGACACAAATGAACATGCATATGTAAAGGTGAAATGTGATGATAAATACTTGTTATTCAATAGATTCTTCACCGCCACTCTAGTGCCGTCAGACAAAACGCCTCGATAGACAATCCCATACCCGCCTTCACCAATGACGTTCTCATCTGATAATCCATTGGTGGCGGCCTCAAGCTCTCTAAGTGTATACCACCTTCCCCACCCCAAATGGGACACTTCTGGCAATGATCCACTGCCTCCTATCGATCCTGATTCTGCCCCACTAGTGGCTCTGCTCTCCCCACTTGACGCCCCTGGTAACTTCTCAGAGAACACAATTCGGTGCTCTACTTTTCCCATGTCAATCTGAATTTCTGGCAATGCCTGAATTTCCATTTTAAATTTAAACTCTTAATAAAAACAATAAAAAGATCCCTAAATGGATAACATTAACAGGTTAATATAAACACTGCAAAGTAAGATTCTATGGAACAGCACTTTTAATGGCAATACAAGACAAAAAGATAAAAGCGTCACAACCATAGGTTCTTGCACAAAATCGCACAATTTTGCAAACGAAAAAGACGCAATTTCATTAAAAAGTAGCTAAATTCTCGATCAGAATTGAAAGTGAGATTTCGCAACATTAACTAAAGAGGAGTCACCGCATTCAACAGGAGAGATAGTTAGCTCAAGTGGACACACCAATAAATAAATACGGGACTATATGTGTGTTTAAATTTACCAGTCCTATTTCAATAATCAAGTTTAATTACGAAAAACGGATTTGAGTTAATCGGAAAACCATGCCTGAACGAGGGGGCGGTGATCAAGGGCAACGTCAGGGCCAACGATCTCTTTGATTTCCTTGGAAACGGGAGGGGTGCGATCTACAGTGGCGGCGCTACGTTGCTGGTAAAGGAGCTTAGCCTTGGATGTGCGGCGGCGCGCAGCCGTGATGCAGAGGGAGAGGAGGAACAGAATGAGAACAATAACGGTTCCCACGAAGATCCCAATCACTACCCATAGCTTCAGCCCGAAAATCGATGTCGGCTTCGAGAGCTCACTGTTCACAAACGCCGCATCGTACACTGACATCTTTACCTAAAACACGCACTCACACAACTCTGTGTGTGAATGCATGTGTCTACACTTCAATCCACTGTCTTCACTGTGCGTTCCCGCGTACACATATGGCGTATATTAGATTAGTTTCCAGTATGTTTCGAGATGAATTGCGTATATATGCGGGATGGTCGGATGGATCTGTGGCAACAAATAAATTATCCCGGTGACCTGTCAGAAATTGGGGGTGGAGTTCTAAGCGAGCTTCAACAGGTTAGATTTCACCGGCGAGCTTAAATAGGAGGGATTTCGCCGCCGATATTGCACTGAGGAATTTTGTCTCTGTTGCTTTCAGACAATCGGAGATGGTGGTGGAGACACTGTCAGAGATAAGAGAGAGCTTCGAAGAGAATCTCTTTTATTTTACGGAGTATTTTCTTTCTTTTTATTTTCTCTGCGTATATTAAAAATTTAAAATGTCCTCTTGAAATAATAAAAATGCAACCAATTAATTAATGAAATAACTCCCACCTGTTTTCTCTTTTCTCAAACCTCAATTAAAAACACTATAAACTTGTAATCTCTTGTCCAAAGAGAGAGAACCCTACCTAGCGGCCTCTTCCCTCGTTATTTATACCGGGTGTAATGCACTATGCCCCCTCGTGAAATATAAATTCGGCACATTAATCTTTTGTGATTTAAAAAATGCGTCAAACTCCATTATGTTATCATTAATCATGTGCCAAACCCCCTCAAAGAACAAATTTAATTTCAAAAAAGATGAAAAATGATTAGCTTTTTTTGTATGATTTAGAAATTTTGACAAAATTACTTGCATATTCAACCATATTATTAAAAAAAGTGATTTCGAAATTGTAAAATTTGTTCTTGAAGGGGATTTTGCGCATGATTAATTAAAATACAGGGGGGTTTGACGTCTTTTTTAATCACAGGGGGCTAATACGTCGAATTTATATTTCACGAGGGGGTTTGATGCATTTAACCCTTATTTATACGAGTAAAGATTTTGCATCGCCCCCATCAATATGGTGTTGGCACGGCAGATTATACTGATTTTAAGTGTCATAACATTTGGGATTGCAATTGCATGTCTGCATCGGAGGAGATAGCGTTGGTGATTGAACGAGGTGCAGCTGGGAGTCTGAATCGTGAAGTCTTGGTCGGCCATTCTGATGGTGGTGGAGTTGGTATTCACCCATATTTTTAAAACTCGTCCTCCTCCAGAACCACCTTCATATGATTTATTTCGGTATTATTTTTTCTTTAGTTACAATTGTTTTTGTTTTTGTCCGAGTAGATTTGGTTTGAATGTTTGGATTTTTGAAGTTTTTTGATACAGGGTTTCGGTTCCGGTCGTTTTATAAATTTGCCTGTTTCAGGTTTAACGAGTCATGTTGCTTTGTATAAATAAGGTGGTTCCGTGGCTAACTCTAAGTCTACTCTTAGAGTTCACAATTGGATCTGTAATATCTGTTAGAAGGTTGTCTTGTATGTGTTCTTGATTTTAATATAACGGACGCTCTTTTATGATGAAAAAATCAATTAAAAAATAAATACACCGAAATTATGCGTTTTATTGAATTTTTGTTTATGAAAAAAAAACGACTTGCAGTGAAATCAATATATATATATATGTATATATATAAGATGAATTTTTTAAGAGCATACAAAGCGCGCCACATAATCCTGCCATGTCATTATATATAACAATTATTTACTTATTTTTATACCTTTTGTTTTTATTAGATTCTATTTTTGATTGCATATTGATATGGAAACAAAAATCCTTAAAAATCCAACTTGATTAATTTGGTAAGCTTCAAATAAGTAAAATAATATTTGGTTATCAAAATGAAATTCTAATAACGTTTATTGATATGAAAAGTAATTTATATTAGTTTACTACACCGAATTAAATAGAAACAAATATGCAAATTAGTTTACTTATTAATTTGACACCTATTAATAAATTAGTAAGCTTCAAATAAGTAAATAATTAAAAATGAAATTAAAAATTATAACCAACATAAAGTATATATATTTTCACAAGTAAATATGTTTAGCTTAGCCAAATAAGTAAATTTTTTTGGTTGTTTCTTTATTTTACACCTAAAATTCAAATATGCCTTCACTTTTGAAATAGATTCCTAATCCAAATTAAATTAGAAAATCTTTATAGGTTTACGAATTCCTACTTTTATTTTAATAGAATGTTTTGAATTGGATTGATTTCAGTTCCAGATTAAATCAGATCAGATCAAACTTTAATAATTATTATAACAATAAGTCACATAAAAACAGACATCTAATAGACCATATTAATTCATACCAAATCAAACCCGAAATTTTAATTCAATTAAAAACGTTCTTATCAATGAGTAAACTGTAAGATCTAACAATTAAGAAATATATTTTTTTTATTATTGGGTTCATAACAATTATGTTTACTTGAGATGTTTATGTAGAAGACCAATTTAATTTTTTTTTTCTTTGTTTCATAAATGGAATATATTTCACATATATTTTTCATGATTTAGAAGATTCCACCTATTTAACCAGAATTCAATCAATTTCAGCAAAATAAGTTAATTCTATTTACTTTAGTATTATCAAATAGACTCTATATTAGACTAAGTTTATTTTTCTTTTAAATCACATTATATGTGATCCGATAGAAATTAAATTTCAAATTAGCTAAATTACATACTGTTCGTGCATCGCACGGGCTTGAAAGCTAGTTCGTTAATATGATTGTTAGCCATTTTCTTTTTTGTTCAAGCCACGTTTTCAATCAAATTAAAAAGTCGTTCCTTAACAATAAATCAAAAAACGGATTTATAATTTATTTAATAACTCTCGATAAATTAGAAATGGAAAAAAATGATGAAATACAATGACATTTTAGTAAATACGAAGTAAATAAAAAAAAAAACCAACAAACTGTAGCTCATATAGAGAGTATGCAATGATATATCGTTTCGATCAAAAGTGCATACTCAAAATAGTCTAATTGCAAATAATCAATAGCGGAGACGTTCACGCGAAGACTTCGTTCGAGTTGTAAGTCGTATATCGGAGTGATTCGAACTTATTATTAAATTTTCACCGTCACCTATATATCGCAGACGCGCAAAAATCACCCTTAAATAATTAATACCTTGGAGTAATTGAAACGATGTCTATTTGAGTTCATGCACTCCCTTGGAGAAACCTCCACCAACTAGTCAAAGTAGGGTGGTTCGGTACGGTATACCGAATATTTTTTCTCATACATTTACCGTACCAAAATTTTCGGTATACAAAATTTATTACACTGTTACATTACCGAAGTTTCGGTATACCGCATTTCGGTATACCGAAGTTTCGGTATACCGCATTTCGGTATACCGAAGTTTCCGTTCGGTAACGGTACGGTATCGGTAAATTACCATGCATGTCTCCCAATATATACAACAAATTATCATAGATTAACAAAATATACTAAATCGGTGTTACTAGCGACATATTTAATCCATTATTAGAATGTTACAAAATAAAATTAATAATCTATTGATGTCATATTCAATATTGGACAATAATTATTAGTAGTATATTTAAACAGTTCAACATGCCACATATTAACAAATAACACATTCTCCTAAAATAACTTGAACAATATAGATATAACTATATGAATAGTGATCTCTAGTAAAAATAAATAAAATTATTCAAACAACATGGATATGAAATCATTTATCCCTAATATGATATTGTATATTTAGTCATTTTTATAGTTTTTAAAAAATATTTGAATAAAACTTTCGGACAAAGTTGTGTGACTCGACTCACGGAATCCTTATGTAGCTGATATACTCGTAACATAAGTGTATCCTTCTTCACTCGTCAGCTACTCAGCGGCTCAGCCATCGTGAAGATGGACGGGTTTCTGGACATTAGTACATTACTCATTAGTCATTAGGGTTGGTGTGTTTGAATGTTACGTACTAGAAACCTAGAAGGTTATAATGGGTTTGGGAATTTGGGTCTTTGTTTTTGTATTTTAGTATTTGCAAACAACCTAAGTATTAATTTTGAGCTTCAAAATTGTAATGGACTTTTACAATATTTTAGAATTTAAAGTAATTGTTGGGTAGGGAGTCGGTACGGTATTATACCGGTATACCGCGGTATTTGAAAACATTTACCGTTACCTTACCGAAATAAATCGGTACGGTATGATACCGTACCGAAAATAACGTGACAGATAGTATATCCGGGGGATACCGTTGATGGGTATCTAGAGAGAAATCAGAACAAGTAAGAGAAAGAGTGTGTGAATAATAAATGAACTCGATGATAGATCATTTACAATAAAAAAGTGGCTCCTATTTATAGCAGCCATAAATGCTAAGCGCATTTAATGTGAGTACACGTGTCAATTGATCAATGGTGGATGGTCAACTCAATCGGGGTGGCGCCGACATAGCATGTGGCACCGCATTCAATGCGGTAGTTTGGATGTGACATCGCATTTAATGCGGCGATTCAGAGCATGCAGAGAGATCTTGTCGGGGGTAGTGCCTTCGGCTGTATGTACCCGAGGGCCCGTATGTGCCGAAGGCTGTATATGCCGAGGGCTGACGATTTTGGTCTTGTTTCCCAGTTGTGTTTTTGGACCAGGTATATTCATTTTCCCGAATATGAGGCCTTCGGTCATAAGGCCGAAGGCTATACCCCTGCATATCATGGGCTGTTTGGAGTCTTGGTTGCTGTATCTGGATCACTTGGACCTGTTGGGCCTGTTTGTAGTAGTGGAAGTGTGTGGGTGGGGGTTCCTGGGTCATATACTCCATGATGGATAGTGTACCCGCGGGTAGCTTATCCGAGGGTTCTCGCGGAGAATAACTAGAGAGAAGTGAGAGCAAACAAGTAAGAGAGAGAGAGAGTCAAATGTATTAAATGAACTCAACGTGGTTTACAAGGGGAATAAGGGCTGCTATTTATAGCAACCATAAATGCGATGAGGGTACACGTGTCAACAATCTAACGGCCGAGGGTCACTTCCATCGGGGTGGCATCGGCATTCGCATGTGGGGAGGAGATTCTGTCGAGGAGGATGCCTTCGGCTGCATATGTGGTGTCGAAGGCGCTTATGGGCCGGGGCCTCTGTGTGCCGAGGGCTGAAGGTGCCGAAACCTTTTTTTTCTCCGTCTTCTCCCAATAGTTTCGTATGCCCAATATTAGCTGTCCTGCGAGGTTTTGGAGCCCTCGGTCATGGGCCGAAGGCATCCGTATGTGCGCCGTGGGCTTCTTGGCACTTGGGCCGCTGTACTTTGGGCCTCTTGTGCTTCCTGGGCTTGTTGGGCCTGCGTTAAAGTAATAGGAGTCTGTGGGCCGGGGGTTCCCGGACCATATACTCCATCACCAATATTCCGGCATGACAAGT